AGTCCGTTATTACACTCTTAAATCCCACTACTTATTCCTGCGTCTTTTGTGATCTTACAAAGCTTCAAACGACGCGTCGACTATTAAATCAGTCGTTGACGATTTTGATAGTCGACGTAATCGTGGCAGCCCTAGTCACAACTAAAAACTTGATTTGATTTTAGGACCAAGAGCAAGTGTGAGCAGAAATACATGGCGTGCTGGTGCACAGTGACACAAACATGTCACAGTCGTGTGGTTTTTAGATCCTTACAGATCTCTTAAATGACAAAGATTACAGTCAAAAATGGATTAGCAGCACTGTTTCATTCAAAGCTGCATCAGTGGAAGGATTTGGTTGCCATATAACTTGTGCGTTCACGTGTGTGTAGATGCTGGGTGTGCAAGGAGCCAGTCAGGACTGTCCAGGCGAGAACGCCCGACAGCTGGCCAGGATCGTGTGTGCCACCGTACTTGCTGGAGAGCTCTCACTGATGGCTGCTCTGGCTGCTGGGCATCTGGTCAAGAGTCACATGACCCACAACAGGTAAGAGCCTGTAATCCAGTGTTGGAGTTACGTTATTATTAACATTGTATTCAGGTAGAAGCAGTAATCAACCTATATATTGTTATACTGCAAATCCAAAAAGTATTCACAGTACTTCACTTATTCCACATGGGAGGGTCTTGTCTAGGTATAGATATATATATAAACTTCCTGATGATATTTTATAAAGGCAAATTAGTATGACTAAAAAGAAAGCACACTTGGACGCTGCTAGCATAATGGACATGTTTTTGACGAGGCTCCCACACAAACACAAGGCAGAGGATGAAGCATTGCTGAATATGGTTCCAAACCAGGTGAAGCTGCACATCGGTGGTGCCAGGGTAGGCGTCCCCGACAGAATTAGTTTCCCCTGCGCTGGGAGCACGCTGAGCTGTCCAAAGCACGGACTAACAGGATCCCACAGCTGTTTATGTTTTTAAACCCATTTTGCACAGAGAGGCATTTTTTGAAAAATGTATTGATGCAATGTTGAAGATTATTACACAGGAAAACAAATACACGTAAAATAATGACACCATGAAGATGGTTTGTTTTTCTTTCAAAGAGGTAGCAGTTTATTTTATTCCTACCTGTAATTTATTGTAATTTCCAATTGCAACATTTTATTTGTTTCATTGTTTACAAAAGGTTTGTAAACAATGAAACAAACGGTGTGAAATAAACTGCAATGGAATTTAAAAACAAAATCTGTGTGTGTGGTTGGAGGATGTGTTTGTGCCGATGGGGGGTTCTTGTAGAACAAAGGGGGGCCTTGCAAAAACAGTTTGAGAACCACCTTCTTAGACTAATTTGTATTTGTATGTATTTGTGTTTGTACAAACTCTTACCTAATGAGTCTTTATCTGCAGCCAGTCAAACAGAAGAGCTGCACTTCACTGATTTGTGTTATTGAGCTGTTCCTGATATTTGCAGGGCTGTCACAGTGTTGTCAAAATCAGAAGAATTCATTTAAATGATTGTGTTATACTTAAAATATGAATGTCAATAATCATTATTTAATTCTACCACAAAGATCTAATGACTCTATTTGTCTTTGTTTTGGTGCAACGATGCCATGATGGCACCTGCTCTGACTCTTCTCTTCACAGGTCGAAGGTGAACCTGCAGGAGACGGGAACGTGCACCAGGGAAGCATCGTGAACGAACAGCTGGGGCTGCTGGGAAAACTCTTACTGGAAACATGTGGCCAATCGGAAAGCGGCGAGTGATTCATCAATGACCTTAAAGACGATTCAAATCAAAGAGACTTTCTGCTGAGCAGTTTCTATTCTGACATTAAGGATGAATCAGTATGTTCACATGAACAATCAGTTCATGACTTCTTGTATTTCAGCAGAATGATGTAAACTTCACAGCCCTCAGGATTCAAATTAAAGTCCCTCCCCTCCTACGTCCAGTCTTACAGCTGTGAATACAAATACCATCATACCTGTAACTGATGTGTGAGACATGCTGTTTATCACACTTTATGCTTCATAATTATTTCATTTCCTTCTCTAACAAGGACATGTTTCAGTTGTTAAACATTCAGTCTGCACTTAGACAGGGGTGGGAACTCCAGGCCTCGAGTGCTGGTGCCCTGCAGGTTTTAGATGTCCTTGAACCAACAGCTGATTTAAAGGCTAAATTAGCTCCTCAACATGTCCTGCAGTTCTCCAGAGGCCTGGTAACGAACTAATCATGTGATTCAGGTGTGTTGACCCAAGGTGAGATCTAAAACCTGCAGGACACCGGCCCTCGAGGCCTGGAGTTTCCCACCCCTGGTCTTAGAGAACTACTGATTACATTTTGCTGGATTAATAAAAACGTGTCCACATCCTGACACAAACACTACAATACTGCACAAAAGTAAAAGCACATTTGTGGTAATGCAACAGTAGCTGACTGCCTTTGACCATAACAGCACACGTGACAGCAACATTAGCGTTGCTGCTGCAGACGCGTGGATCCAATCATCACACAGAAGCTCAACCACAGCTTTATGTGCTGGAAATGGCAAAGCAGCTGAGTTACAGGCTGACAGAAGGTCACGCACCACGAGGGAGCTCACAACAGGCAACGAAGGGAACAGCCCACAGCTGACACTAATCCAGATTAAAGGAAGCAAAATTACAGATTAAAATTAGAGAGGAGACTATCAAAATAAAACAGGGAAACAGCACAGAGAGCCAGGCTGGGAATCGTGGACTCAGATGAAGTCAGGACCAAACCAGTACAGAGAACCAGAACAGCAACACTTCCCCAGCCCCAAAGACTCACGACCGTGACGAACTCCATCACTCATGGTGCTGGTTGTGGAGGTCGGTCAGCTGGCCTGTTGTTTCTTCTTCTTTCAGCTGCTCTCTGTAGGGTCGCCCACAGAGGGTCATCACCCTGTTCCTCACCCACTGCATGCCCTTCATCACTGCATCCACGAGCCTCCTCATTGGTCTGTTTCTTGTCCTCATTTCTGAGAGCTCCATTTTCTGGATCCCTCTCTTAATTCAGTGATTTAAGCAGATGAAAATCTGAAGATTTTGTATTCAGCCTGTACTCTGATACCCCTCAACAAAACCCAGTGATATCAATTGACTTTAGAAGTCACCTGATTAGATAATCAAGTTGGATGGAGTTAAACACATGGCAGAAAACCTGTTGGAGGCTGCAAAGGACTTGAGCTTGGGATGGATGCAGACAATGACCCTAAACATACGTTAGAGCTCCAACGTAATGGTTTATATCAAAGAATATCCACGTGACTGGGTCTGAATCACACCGAACATCTGTGGCAAGACTCGAAAACTGCTGTTCACAGACACATCCACTCTGACTGAGCTGTTCTACAACAAAGTAGGATTGACCCCATGGATCAATATTACAAAGTATGATGTAATAGTAAAGTTTGTGGTCATAAGGTGACAAAATGTGTTCAGGGGGTGTGAAGTTAGAGGTACTAACCCTTACTGAAGGCCTTATAACATGATGTAGTGATAAACGTTAAATACAACAATGAGTAAGACTGAGAGTGTTAAATCATGTACATCAGACACTAAAGTGTGAAGAGATCCTGCAGGTCCCGACAGCCGGGGACCACAGGACTGATGCCAGCAGGGAGGAGGGATGTGATGCACCTTATGTTGAACCCTGATTTATGATGGGAAAGTAATAAACGGTTATGACAGCCATAGTTTTTATGAATATGATACAATTATGGCAACGCGGCAGTGTGGTGATCAGCACTGTTGCCTCACAGTAAGAAGGTCCTGAGTACTCTCTGTAGGAATAGGGCTTTCATTTTAAACGCACAGACAGTGCAGCCATATATAGAGTGGTGTTACAGTTATGTCAAAATCTTAGAAAATTAAATTACCACCTTATGGGTACCGTGGGTGTCAGTGGATTGGTTATCAGTGTTAGCAGGACAGAGATTAAGAGCAGAATACAGCAGAACATGGAAGATGTCAACAGTAACGGGAGGAAAACATGTTCTAATGTCAGAAATATGATGCTGGAAGAAGACAGCTGATCCAGAAGCTCGGTGATATGAAAGTGCAGATGGACTTTTTAAGAACTCGAGTATTATCCGGCCATATTTAGTTTGTTAAGACAAACTCCACACCAGCAGGGGGCGGTAATGCACCATGTTGCTGTTTGCCAACCGCCAACAAATGACGAAAAAGAAAGAAAGAAGCAGACGAGGAAGAAGCAGCGTTGGCTGTCAACACACCGGGAGTTTACCGGGACCGTCAGTGAACCATGCGTCTGCTCTGTAAGACACCGGGGATTTACTCACGCGTGTGTCAGCTCGCGAGCGCACAGCTCAACATGCTGACACAGCAGAGGAAGAAGCATCTGGCGAACCAGGTACGAGCTGACTCCAGCATGACATGATGCTAATGGCAGATACGAGCCACACTCACAGTGACCTTTATGTCCACTGTAGTTTTGGAGATTATCTCACCTCCCGGGGCTTCGTCCGGTCATTACCCACACGCTGCATCCCCCCTGCCGGCCTTCACACAGCGTAAGTTCCGCTTTGACTCGGTGGTGATTAGTTTAAACTGTAACGTACTTAATGACGGGTTGTAGTTCTCACCGAGCTTCACGACCATCTCCAGTTTATCTGCAAATGTTTGGTCTGGTTCTTACAGAGACGGTCCACACACACACACACACACACACACACACTGAACCGTCTGTCTTCACTATGTGACAAATCAATATGAATTGTATCAAATTGTTGTGAGGCCTGTTTAAACTCTCCGTCCTGACTGAGGATAGATAGATATTATTGCTTCTATAGTTGAATATTATTACAGATATTGACTGTTTGATGGTGTAGCGGCTATTGGAGCCTTTTCCTGGACCTTTGAGCACGAAATAAATGCTGTTGCTGACCCCGCAGGAGAGCTGCTCTGGCTCAGCACCAGTGTCGGATGCGCAGGCCTGATGTTTGGTTTCATAATGACGTCGTACATTATACTCTTTCATAACTGCCACAGTCTCAGTGCAGATCAAACAGACACACGTCCCCTTGAGTTCTTTGGAGAAATCTTCACTCTCCCACCGTGTCTGAAATTTTCTGCACTCACTTTTCTACCTTTCTTTGGTTCTGACCTGTTTTGTAACTTGGGGTAAATTTCTTCTGTGATTGTCCTTTTTGGTGGAGCAACTGACCTGATCAACAGCAGCTCCCCCTGGTGTTAAAACTAAGAAGTGCAATACACTCAAGCAAAAGTTGAAGTGCAGCCATATTCTGTTCATATTCTATTTATAAAATCACTTGCGGGCCAATTAAAAATGGACTGCGGGCCGGAGTTTGGACACCCCTGCTATAAACCACATTAATGGAAAATTCAGCTTAAATGAGTAATGTTGTAATACAATAAACATCCTCTTACATGAGTGTATTGCATCTGTTTTGAACAAGCCTGTGAAATACTGGGAGAATATAGTTTGGAAAGATGACACTGAAGTTGAACTCTGCCACAGGCTCAGCCAATCACCTGACCCGAATCCAACTGGAAAACCTATGGAAAGACCTGATGCTGAGAGTTCATAGAAGGGCCCACAGAAGCTTTGAAGAAGCAAACAAAGTTTAATAGAGAGGCTCACAGTTAGAATTAGCTTATGTCTCAGTCCAGAATCAGGGAGTGCCTTGCACCTCCAAATTCAACACTTTATTAAGGATAAAAGTACGTGTCACAAATGTCTCACATCGAGTGATTTCATGATCTGTGTCCAAATGGGAAAATATACAAACTATAAATTTCAAAGTCACTCTATAATGTGCATAAATGTCAGAAACCAGCTGAGCATAAAGGAGAAGAGTAATTAAACAAGTTTGTTGGTGTTTTCTGTTTCAGTGGTTCGGGAGCAGAATTAATGGCAGCAGGTGGAGCAAAACCATCTACCTGAGTCAGAAAAAAGTCACCCTCGCGCATGTAAGGTAACCAATATTTTGTTTTTGTTTTTCTCCTTAAGCATTGCTTAAGCTTTGACTACTTGAACTAATTTATAACTTTGTGTCTCTAAAGTGAACTGTCTGCAGCAGCGTATGAGAAGCTGGCCGATGAGACGTTGGAGGCTCTGGCTGATTACTTTGAAGACCTCACAGATGAAGCTTTCACTGGGGCCGACTATGATGTTGTCTTCTCTGTAAGTCTGTGGATGCTGTAAAGGTTGCTAACTGTGAAGTGACTTTAATGGCAGCTGTAATAAATGATGGCAGAATGATCTAAATGCTTATTTACAGAAACTGAATGATGAACATACGATTACACTGAGGCTGCCACAAACCATTATTGTATTTACCATATTTATTTGAAAGGTTTTAGCTGTTAAAATGAAGTAGATTTGATTTAGTTATTAAATATAAATCAAACCAAAAGCAACATCATTTATTCAGTACAGTGTTAATATCTGAATGAGGCTGCGGGGCCACTCTGTAGTGGGAAGGTCGGGCCCCGAGGTGAAAAAGGTTAAAACCCCATCTTGTCATCTGGGCTTCCAGTGATCAGAGTTGAGGTGATTGATGTGTCCATGTAATCATCATCTCATTTTGTTTGATATCCCCGTTCCTCACTCAGCTCCTAAACAAACCCACACCGCCTCTTTTCTGCACCCTACGACGTCTGAAATCTCCTTTAACCACCTTTGAATGAAACTTCTTGTCGCTGTAACCATGATGAGCTACTTGCATGCTTTAGTTCAGCTTGTACCAACACTGCACAGACTGCATCATTAGAAACTCAGCTTTGGTTAAATAAAGTCTCTCGTGCTGTCAAACAGAAAGAAAGGAAAGCATGAAAATGGAAGAAAGCTCAGCTCCGTGTGTCTCAGCAAGTGTTTACAGATCGTCTGAATAACTATCAGGCAGAACGAGTAAATCGTTTTTATTACAAAGAAGTCTGGTAATCCTAAAGTCCTATCCTCCAATCAACTCTGTCCTGCGTCCCACCTTTACAGCCATGAGGCCGCCGCACACACCTGTGAGGTTCTTCACTGGAAAAATGAATCGTATCAGAGAACGTGTTCTGCTCCCATCCCAGAGCCTTCAGAACCACCTACGTGTTCCTCCTTTCTCACCCACTTCAAACACTCTCATTATCCTGATTATTACTGATATAATAATGCACATGACACTTGCCCTGTGAATGAAAGTCGTCATCACATTTCTAACATCCTTTGTTAGTAGCAGCGTCTGAAACAAGCTGCTGGTCCTGGTTTGGACCCGTCAGTCATTTTTAGATGCACGCAGTATTCTGGATAAACTTCAGTCTGTTTTCAGAGCCTCCCCAACACAGTCTGCTCTGCTGAAGGTGCTCGATGCTTTCAGCTGCTTTAATTCTTCTAGACCTGAGTGCAGCGTTTGACACAGCTGATCACACAATCCTGTTAAACCATTTGAAGACGTGCGTCAGCATCAAGGCCCTGCTGTAAGGTTTGCCTCTGAGAGAGCAGAACATAGTCTGATGCTGGGTCACAAGTATGACCCTGCTACACTCGCGTGTGGAGTTTTATTCTCCCTTCACGTGCTCCCATCAGGCTTCATTTCTCATTACTGTTATGCAGACGATACACAGCTGTGTCTCTGTCTAAAACCAGGTGTTGATAGCACATCTGGTAAATCGCTACAGTCGATTTAAGGGCAAAAACAGCTTTTCAGTCATAGTCACCAAAATCAAACAGGAAGGGATTCAAACAATTTACGTTTATTGTGATAAACTTTACATACATGTTACATAAATAAAATTAAGATTAGTTAAATTCCATGTAGATGTTTGGTCAAAATTGCTTTGTTAACGGATGAAAGTAGAAACGTTTTCTTCTGTTTCTTGTTTGACAGAGCGGCGTTCTGACAGTGAAGGTGGGTGGAGACCACGGCACTTATGTGATCAACAAACAGACACCAAACAAACAGATCTGGCTTTCTTCTCCTACCAGGTAAGACTCAGGCTTTGCATCACTTCATGGTAATATGAGTAACTGAACCCAACAATGTTCAGTTTACTTAATACTCTGTCAACATTTTTCACTAAGCTGAGTTTTGTTTTTATCATTCTAAATTAAGATGCCAATAAGTGACTCATGTGTTCCCAACATAACCAATCTGGTCAGCTTTGATTTAAGTGATAAATCGCTTGATTGATTAACGCAGACATGAAAATATTTCATTATTGTAGCGATTAAATCCTGTATTTTGACGCTCTGGTTGCTAATTGTTTGTTAGTACGTGCACTCAAAGTTCTCCATATTCATGTGTCATTTATTTCCTTTGCAATGTCTGGTTTTCTCGACATTTCACACAAACACAACAGGTAACCACATTAAGCACAGTAGAAACCGTTTGTTCCGTCTCATCAGCTGCAGCTGAACAGAATTACCTTTGACCTTAAATAACCCCGCCCCTGCCTCTTGCATAATCACACCACCTATAAGCAAAAGTCCCACCTGTTAGTCGTAGCCCTCTGCACATCAGCCAATAGTGCCAACCTCTCCTCCTCTACACAGCAAAATCACCACTGTGAAAATTTAACACTAGAAAAGTGTCTGTATGTGTCCACACTTGAGTTTTAAATGAGCACTTTTCAATGTGTTTATTTTTAACACTGACCTAGTGTTGTTATAACACTAACACTGAGCAGTGTCAACAATATTCCACTCTGGTGTGTAGGGCTGTTCGATATAACGATATATATGGATGACGATATAAAAACGTCTGTCGTTTGTTTCTTGGTGTCACAAAATAAACAGTTCACGGCAATTTTTTCATCATTGATGGTTACTGTGGAGTTTCTTAAAGTTGTCCCTTTCTCTTATATTTAAAAATCCACACTACGGACGGACAAAGGACTGTTTTTACGCGTTGTCGTTAGCAACAACGACGCTGTCCGCTTGTTTATTTTCCACATGGACCTTTCACAATAAAGCTGAAGAGCCTGTTGAGATTTTCAAAATAAACTGAATCCCGTGAAATAGTATGCAGAGTGTTTATGGTTTCAACTTATGTAGCACTCGACTCCAGCTACACGACGCCCAGCTGGAAACACTTCACGCAAGTTCAGCTGCCCGAGATTCACAGAATTGACAGAAAATGTTACATTTTTGTGATAAATATCGTTGTCGTGACGATGGATGTCTTACATCGGGATGTGAGTTCGGTCATATCGCACAGCCCTAGTTTTAAGTGTTAAAACATAGGTGTCAAACTCTGGCCCGCAGCCTAATTACATTTGGCCTGTGAAGCCATACCAAATTACTATCAGAGCTGGCCTACTGGTATTATACAGCTAATATATATTGTTTGGTATTAAGCTTTGCTTGTTCCATATTCAGTTTTTCAGCAAAACTTGTTTTGAGTCCATAAGAAAAGATTCATTCTTATATCTGGAGGAATAAATATATTTCAATAAATATTAACGTTAGCCCGCGACTTTGTTCCAGTTTTGAATTTTGTAAAAAGAAACATACACACATCCACCCTTTTGTCAGGTGGAGGTGGAGGTGCAGTCTTGCATGCTGGTGTCCAGTCAAGCTTTGTCAGTCCAGTCAGTCCTTATTTTTATTTGCTGACAGTAGAACCTCTCGTGATGCAATAAGTTTCTACTGCCAGCAATGACGTCATTTAGACTGGATTACCTCGCTGAATCCTTTTTGACAGGGACTTTCTGATTGTCCCAAATAAGTGGCTTTCTCCTGAGCCCATTTTAATTTTGGAGAAGCTCACTTGCGATTGTTCAACATGTTGTGTAGCGCTT